CTACAGCTACTTGGTTATGTAAGATTTGATTATCTGACTAGTAAGCCAGTAAGCTTACCTCCAAAATTGTAACTAAGTAGCAATTTAGCAAATAAAGTAGAAGTGTAAATATTACAAAGGAAGAGGTAAGATTTTCATAATTTCTAGATGGTAAATTCATTGTGAGGAAACACCATATTAACTAAAACTATTGTATAGGAATGAATGTCATTCCATGGGGGGCATGCAAGAAAAACAAACACTTTTTACCCATAACTACCACTTTCAACACTTATATGTAAGTGAGGTTTTCTGCTCTTGGATGAAATCAACAGCATGGTCAAATCAACCAGCTTTTGCAGGTGGTTCGGCACCGTAGATCAGTGGCTAGGGCACAGGCCAAATACACCAGGACTGGCAGGTTCCAACTGGCCCCGGCCTGCCAAACAACAATGACAACTACAAGAACAGAAAAAACAGCCATGCATTGTGGCAGGTGCCTGTAATACCGGCTACTTGGGAGGCTGAGGCGAGAGAATTGCTTAAGCCCAAGAGTTTGAGGTTGCTGTGAGCTGTGATGCCATAGCACTCTACCCAGGGCAACATACACTCATCTCAAAAGCAAAAAAAAAAAAAAAGCTTCTTCAGGCATTCTAAGATAATAAATAGTATTTTATACACTGGTAATCACAAGGCTAGTCTCATTGTAGTAAATAAAAACTGTTATTTTGCTATCTAAAATATTCACTGCAGTGGTCAATACTTCAGATATCATTTAGCAATATATTATTCTTTCTGCCTGGAAGCCTACAGAGTACCTGATCAGTATCTTTTCTATTTCCATACCTGTACTACTAAAAGATATTATCTAATAGTTAATACTTAAATTATTAGCAAATTAATACTTCTTAATTTCAATAACTATGCTTTTTAAGTAGTGTGATACAGGTGAATCAACAAAGAGATGAAGTAGAGATATTCAATAGAAAGTCTAGACAGGCTCGGCGCCTGTGGCTCAAGCGGCTAAGGCGCCAGCCACGTACACCTAAGGTGGCGGGTTCGATTCCCCAGCCCGGACCCGCTGAACAACAATGACGGCTGCAACCAAAAAATGGCCAGGCGTTGTGGCGGGCGCCTGTGGTCCCAGCTACTTGGGAGGCAGAGGCAGGAGACTCGCTTGAGCCCAGGAGTTGGAGGTTGCTGTGAGCGCGATGCCATGGCACTCTACCCAGGGGGATAGCTTGAGGCTCCGTCTCCAAAAAAAAAAAAAAAAAAGAAAGTCTAGACAGATATTCTCAAGAATATAGGGAAATGATAAAGATTATATATTTTAAATTTGATAAAGATGGCATTTCACATCAATTGAGGAAATATGGATTATACAATATATGGTATTGCTAAACCACAAAACATACATGGGAAGAATTTTCACAAGGCAAAGATACTTTAATAGTCATATGAGAAACTATAGGCAAAGTATTTTTAACTGGTCAAAGGCTTTCCTAAGTTAAAAAAACAGAATAGATAATGTCAACTAACTAGGAAATAAAAACCTAAGAGAAAAATACATATTGTACTATAAAGAGATCTCATTGCAGAAAAAAAATAAAGAATGTATTTAAACATATTAAAAGAAGGTTATTCTCAACTATGATATAGACCTGATGAGGAAAGATTTAAAAGTTGTCAAATGTACTCATTAGGGGAGGGGAAGATATTGTACATTGCTGACTACAGTTTAAATTGGCATAAATTCCACAAAGAACAATTTGGAAATACTCAGTAATACTCTGCTCAGTGGTAGATGGAAAGTAAGAGATGCAGAGGGAAAAACACAATATTACCTCTCTTTAAGCCACAAAGTTTTCTCAGAATCCTTTCTCCTTCACCATGAGACTAGTTCAAAACTGGCCCAGGTTTCTGTTTGTGAGAGAGCAAGATTTGTCCATTTTCCCACTAAACTCCATCCTAGATTTCTGAATGATATTCAGACTAAGCAAGTGCTGAGTCAGTGAACATTATTAATGCAGCGTTAATTGAGTTATACTGGGAGATCTAAGTCAAGAATGTATCCTCTATATTTGCCTTCCCAGGACTCTTCCTTTTTCCAAAAGAAGAGCTCAAAAGAGAAAGTTCATCATTTACAAATCTCAAAGCCATGCCTCAGGTGAGATGATGTTTCCTCTCCTTCTGAAATAACTTTCTTCAGGGTATATGGACATTTGCTTCCCTATCCTTAAACTTCCTGGATATTGGCATTTTCTTCCATGAAAATGTTCTTTAGTCAGGGCCCAGATTAGGATAAAGCAAGCAAGTGGCATAGGGTACAATATTTATGGAATACTCTCGGGGTGTGCCTTCCTAAATTTTGCATTCCAAGTATTTCATATGACTCACCCTATTCTCAGTGCTGTTAACAATTTCTCCATTCCTACCAGATAAACTTAAGTCTTTTCCAAGTACACCTTCTAGCTGTAGCCAGTGGTCACACATTGATTGGGTGTATTGTTCATTATCATCTTTCTCAGTCTTCTCCCGATGTACTGCTGAAACAGAATGGTATTATCTTAGTTTAAATGGGAATATTATAGATTACTTGAATGAATCTACTTGGTCTTGACCCTGATTTAAGATCTAAGTTTTCGAGTAGTCAAGGAGCAGACATAGAAAAACCTTGATCTGGCTTGGCAGCTGTAGTACAGTGGTCACGGTGCCAGCCACATACACCAAGGCTGGTGGGTTCAAAACTGGCCCAGATCAGCTAAACAACGACAACTGCAACAAAAAATAGCCAGGCATTGTGGTGGGTGCCTATACTCCCAGCTACTAAGGAGGCTGAGGCAAGAGAATGGCTTAAGCCCAAGAGTTTGAGGTTGCTGTGAGCTGTGACACCATGGCACATAGTGAGACTTTGTCTCAAAAAAAAAAAACCAAAACAAAACAATAAAAACAATGAAAAACCTGGATCATCTCCACTAACCTAGGTTTTACAGTGATACACTGGGAAGTAGAACTGGTAGATTAAATTATTAGTTTGTGGAAAGATGTCCTGCTTTGCGATGCTTTTAGGATAGAGATTTGATTGTAAGCTTGTACAGAAAACTGAAGGTTTGTGTTCCTCCTCTCTGGTCTCCCTATTTTACCCATGTCTGCGGGCAGTTCCTATAAATTGTGGCCTACAAATAAAAACATTTCCAGTATTCGAATGCTATTATAGATTTATTTGCATCTTTTTAGTTTCTTCTAATTTTTTATATGTGGGTGCAGGAGAATAAATGTATATGCTAGTCTACTTTTGAAACATTATACTTTGGGATTGGTGCCCTTAGCACAATGGTTACGGCGCCAGCCACATACACCAAGGCTGGCGGGTTTGAGCCCAGCCCAGGCCTGCTAAACAACAATGACAACTGCAACAAAAAAATAGCTAGGTGTTGTGGCGAGCGCCTGTAGTCCCAGTTACTTGGGAGGCTGAGGCAAGAGAATCCCTTAATCCCAAGAGTTTGAGGTTGCTGTGAGCTGTGATGCCACAGCACTCTACCAGGGTGACAGAGTAAGACTCTGTCTCAAAAAATAAAAATAAAAAAGAAAGAAATATTCTACTTTGGAGTCAAATGGTTCTTTGTCATGTTTTCATATCTTTGTTTCAGAAAATTCCTCTTCATTTACCAGCTTCTAAAATATTGGTTTTCTCCACATGCTAACTGGTTCTCTTTTCTTCATAGTTTCTTTTCCTCTAGTCACACATTCAGTCTGAATGCTACACTTATCTGATTCTCAAATACCTCTCACCATTCTAGACTGAGTCCAGAATGTCAGAACCATGTACTCAACTTCCCATAGCTATCACCATCTATATGTTCCACAGACACTTCATGTACATTTCCAAGGTTTACGTCATTACCTCTTGTGGTCCAGCCTATACTTTCTTCTGTTTCCCATTTCCATTTTCTAGTCTCAGCAGCGACGTGCTTGCCTATACAGATAACCCAAGAGCTTTGTCTCTCTTTTTTCTACTCTATAACCAATTTATGATCAATTCTTTTACAACACAACATGTAGGAACCAGCTGTCCTCTGTCAGCCCATTAACACTAGCTTAACCTAGGAGGCATCTTCAACTATGGTTACTTGTCATTCCCACCTAATATCCCTTAAGCCTTTTCCAGTGTCCAAGAATACTGCCTTTCAAGTACAAATTTTATCACATCATCAATGTGTTGACTTGGTTCCTCTGTTCTTTATATTCCTAAAAACAGTAGACCCAAACTGGGGCATGCATCACAGTGGAATGTATAAGACAATATATTGGGAGTGAAGAAAACACTAACAGTTTACATTAAAGAGCAGTAAGCTGTAACATTGTGGGTTGCCATTATAAATTGTGCCATGATTTATAAATAACTACAATGTTGGAAATGTGCTCAGTACATTTTTAAGACCATTGCTATGTAGGGGAAACATCTAGTATTATCTATATGTCCACTGCCTACCTCCATGTGCCTTTTCTTTCTTAGAGCTCAAAGACTATTTCCTAACATACTGTGCCTTTTGCCATTTCCTTAATTTACTAATTGGCTTTTTTCTCCCCATGAATTTTTAAAAGCTGATCCCCTGTAATCCTACAAAACAAATTCATTGTGAGTAAAAAACTTTTATGTCCTCAGTGAAGCCTCCGAGTAAAAAATGAAAATTTCCTTTGCTTTGTGACACTTTCCCTTTGCACGTATTTCTGTTATTGCATCTGTAATACCTATTGAGTACATGTATTTACATGTATGCCTCTCTCTTAGCCTATAACTTCTCATGAGCCAAGATTAGGTAACCAGTTCCATTCAGGACAAATAGTATGATCTCAGTATGTTTAGATAATAAGTAAATACAGATGAATGTATTTTCAGAGAGATTTTTGTGCAGTATTGAACACAAAATAAGAAAACTAGTCTGATCATCAAACACTGTCAGAACTAGGTCTCCAATATCTAGTTCTCACCCATTTCCGATCACTTCAGGATGAATTAGAGTGTGCCCTTACAGGGATCAGTGTCATTCAAGGATGTGACTGTGGACTTCACCCAGGAGGAATGGCAGCAACTGGACCCTGCTCAGAAGGCCCTCTACAGGGATGTGATGTTGGAAAACTATTGCCACTTCGTCTCTGTGGGTAAGGAACACTTCTTGAGTCTTTCATCGTCATGTAGCTCTTTCCAGGGGTCAGAGGTGATGAATCTTTTGATCCAAAATGTTAGCAAAAGTCTTTGGCCATACCACCCTGAATGCACCAGATCTTGTCTGATCTTGGAAGCTAAGCAGGGTCAGGCCTGGTTAGTATTGGATGGGAGACTGCCTGGGAATACCAGGTGGTGTAGGCTTTAAAAAAAAAAGTTAGCAAAAAATATGATTATATCCTTTCTTGCATAATGCAAGAAAGGTAGCTCATTTGCTACCTTGTAGCTGTGTCTTTCTCTTACTTCAATAGTTTTAAAGTCCAAACTGTTTACACCAAGTCTCATTTTTCATTATCAGGGTTTCATATGACTAAGCCTGATATGATCCGCAGGTTGGAACAAGGAGAAGAGCTATGGACAGAGAGAATTTTTCCAGGTCAGAGCTACCTAGGTAAGTCTATACAAACAAAATCCAATGGTTATTAAATCTTGGGTAGTTGATGCTTTGAATGTTTTTAGGGCTCTGGGTTTATTTTTGCAGTTTTTGGCTGGGGCCAGGCCTGAACCGGCCACCTCCGGTATATGGGGCTGGCACCCTACTCCTTTGAGCCACAGGTGCCACCCAAGGGCTCTGTTTTTTTAAATTGTGGTGAAATACCCATATTATTAAATTTTCCATCTTTAACTTTTTTTTTTTTTGAGACAGAGCCTCAAGCTATCCCCCTGGGTAGAGTGCCGTGGCATCACAGCTCACAGCAACCTCCACTCCTGGGCTCAAGCAAGTCTCCTGCTTCAGCCTCCCAAGTAGCTGGGACTACAGGCACCCGCCACAATGCCTGGCCATTGTTTTGGTTGCAGCTATCATTGTTTTTTGGGGGGCCTGGCCTGGGGATTCGAACCCGCCACCTTAGGTGTATGTGGCTGGTGCCTTAGCCTCTTGAGCCACAGGTGCCGAGCCCATCTTTAACATTTTTAAGCATATGTTTCAGTGGCATCAACCATCACCACTACCCACCTTCAGCACTCACCTTATAGAACTGAAACTCTATACCCCTTAAACAATAATTTAGCTTTAACCCACTCCCTAGCCCCTGGCAACCACTATTCTCCTTTCTGTCTCTTTGAATTTGACTATTCCAAGTACATCTTGGAAGTGGAATCATATAGTAGCTTTTCTTTTGTAAATGGCTTGTTTCAATTAGCATCATGTCCTCAAGGTTCATCCATGCTGTAGCATGTATCAGAATTTCCTTCATTTTTAAGGCTGAATAATATTCCTCTGTGTGTGTGTGTGTGTGATAGACACTTGAGTTGCTTCCATCTTCTGGCTATTGTAAATAATGCTGCTATGAACTGGGTGAAGTGGCTCATACCTGTAATCCTAGCACTCTGGGAGGCTGAGGTGGGTGGATTGCTTGAGCTCATGAGTTTAAAACCAGCCTGACCAAAAGCAAAACCCCATCTTTACTAAAAATAGAAAAACTGAGGCAAGAGGATTGCTTGAGCCCGAGTTGGAGGTTGCTGTGAGCTATGAAGCCACAGCACTCTACCCAGGGTGACAGCTTGAGACTCTGTCTCAAAAAAAAAAAAAAATGCTGCTATGAACATAGGTATACAAATATTACTTTGAGTTCTTACTTTTAGTTCTTTTGTGATACTCAGGAGAATTGCTGGATCATATTGTAATGTTATGTTTAATTCTTGAGGAATCACCATACTGTTTTCTGTAGCAGCTGTACTACATCAGTACACAACATTCCAATTTCTGTACATCTTCACCTACACTTCATTTTTTTTTTTTTTAAATCCTATTACGGATCTATTTTTAAAGGTTTTAGATCTGTGAATTGCCTATATATGGTTGACTTTCATGCCTCTAAAATCTGAAGGTTTAGGTTTGAACATTACTCCCCATATAAGTCATTTCCTTTATAGAAATAGAAATAGTTGCTGTTTATAGAAATATTTGTAGAAATAGTTGCTGCTATAACTTTATCATGAATCTGTTTCATGTTTTGTAGGTATAATATACATAGAGATCTTAAGTGTAAAGTACTTTGAGTTCTGACTTAAGTATAAACCCTTGTATCCCACCCCCCGGTCAAGATAAAGGACATTTCCATTAACCTATGAAGGTCCATCTGGTCTCCTCCCAAGTCACTACTTCCCATCAGGACAGGCACAGTTGGGATGTCCATCAGTATAGATTAGCATTCCCTATCTTAGACCTTTGTCATGTCTGCTTTCTTTCACTCAATCTCTGAGACACTTGTGCTTGTTTTTGCATGGATGAGTAGTTATTTTAATTGTGAAATAATAGTCAGTAATATGAATATACCAGTTTATTTATGTATCTCCTATTGAAAGACATTTGGAGTGTTTCTAATTTAGGGCCATTATGAATAAAGCTGCTGTAAAAAGTCAGTGATATTGTTGATTCATAAGTTACATGTATGTTTCACATTTTTAGAAACTGCCAGTTTTTAAGTTACTAAACCATTTTAGATTTTCATTACCACTGTGTGAAAATAATGATTTCCCCACATTCTTTTCTACATTTGATGTTATCAGCATTTTCATTTTGATCCATTCTGGTAGTGTATAGTTGCAATTTTAGTTTATATTTCTGTCATGGCTAATGATATTAAAAGCTTTTTCTAATGCTTTTTACATCCAAGATATCTATTCAAGTGTTTTACCCATTTTTTTATTTGGATAGTATATATTTTTCTTTGCATAGTAGGCATTCTCTACATGTTCTGGATAGAAATATTTGGTACCATGTATATATCACGACAATTCCCCCTACTCTATAGCTTGCCTGTAATGCTGCCTTTGATGAGCACAAGTTCTTAATTTTGATGAAGTCCAGTTTATCATTTTTTTTCTTTTTAGAAACAGGCTTTACTTTGTTGCTTAGGCATGAGAGCAGTGATCTGATTATAGCTCACCACAATCTCAAACTCTTGGGCTCAAGTGGTCCTCTCATCTCAGCCTTCTGAATAACTTGTGCTACAGGTACACACCACCACATGCTGCAAATTTTTCTATTTTTTGTAGAGACAGGGTCTTGGTATGTTGTTCAGGCTGGTCTTAAACTTCTGACCTTAAGTGATCCTCATACCTGAGCCTCCCAAAGTGCTAGGATTACAGGCATGAGCCACCATGCCAGGGCTACCATTTTTTTCTTTTATAATTAGTTACTTGACCTCTCAAACAAATAGTTTTCTCTTATAGGTTGTGATGATAGTTCCCTGTATTTTCTTCTAAGAATGTTGTGTGTATTCTGCTTTTATGTTTAGTTCTGTGGTCCACCTGATATTAAGCTTTATTTATGATGCAAGGTTGGGCTCAAGGGTCTCTTTTCTTCTATATGGATATCAGTTTGTTCCATTACCATCTGTGAATGAATTGCTGTGATGATGACATAGAAAATTGATCATACTTATGTCAGTCTATTTTTGGACATTGTTCTTTCCTTTGAAATATTTTAAATCATATTGCCAATACCATCTGGTGTTTGATTATTTTAAATTTAAAATAACTCTTGAAGTCAATTAGTATAAGTCCTCTAATTTTATTCTTTTTAAAAATTGTTTCGACTATTGTAGGTCATTTAGTGTCAACTTCTTGATATCTTTAAATAAGCATGCTAGGCCAAGTGTGGTGGCTCACACCTGTAATCCTAACACTTTGGGAGCCTGAGACAGATGGATCACCTGAGCTAAAGAGTTTGAGATCAGCATGAGCAAGAACTAGACCCCATCTTTTTTTTTTAAGACATCACTGTGATGCCGCCTAGGTAAGAGTGCTGTGGCATTAGCTCACGGCAACCTCAAAACTGTTGGGCTTAAGTGATTCTCTTGCCTCAGCCTCCCAGTAGCTGGGACTACAGTTACCTGCCACAACGGCTGGATATTTTTGTTTGTTTGTTTTGTTATTGTTGTCATTGTTATTTAGCAGGCCCTGGCCAGGTTCGAACCCACCAACCCCATTGCATATAGCCAGTGCCCTAACCACTGGAGCTTCAGGCTCTGAGCCAGAGACCCCTGTCTTTAAAAAACAGCCAGGCATCATGGCGGGTGTCTGTAGTCTCAGTTACTTGGGAGGCTGAGGCAGGAGGATTGCTTTAGCCCAAGACTTTGAGATTGGTGTGAGCTATCATGCCACGGCAATCTACCCAGGGTGACAAAGTGAGACTCTGTCTCAAAACATAAATAAATAAATTAGTATGCTGAGTTTCTTCTCGGTGAAAACTGATGTCTTAACAATATTGAGTCTTCTGATTCACGACCATACTATTCTTTCCATTTTAGTTAGCTTCTCTAAATCCTGTAAGCAGTATTTTATTGTTTTAGTATAGTATAGAGGTCTTACACATTGTTAAGTTTATTACTAAGCCTTTAATATTTTTTATGTCACTGTAAAAAGTAGGATCTTTAAAATTCCTTTTTCTAGTTTGATACTAATATATATGTGGCATAACCACAACTGGTTTTAATGTATTGATTTTGCATAATCTACTGCTTGTATTGGGTTTTATTGTGTTGTTGTTCTTTAGTAAATTTCTTTAGACAAATTTTCTACATATAAAACATGCCCTCAAGGGGCGCTTGTGGCTCAAAGGAGTGAGGCACTGGCCCCATATGCCGGAGGTGGTGGGTTCAAACCCAGCCCCAGCCAAAAACTGCAAAAAAAAAATGCCCTCTTGAAATAAAGACATTTCACATCTATATTTCACTTCTACCTTTATAAACTTTATTATATGAATTTTTTCCTTTTGAGACAGAGCCTCAAGCTATCCCCCTGGGTAGAGTGCTGTGGCATCACAGCTCACAGCAACCTCCAACTCCTGGGCTCAAGCGAGTCTCCTGCTTCAGCCTCCCAAGTAGCTAGGACCACAGGCCACCGCTACAATGCCTGGCTATTTTTTGGTTGCAGCCATCATTGTTGTTTTGGCAGGCCGGGCTGGATTCGAACCTGCCACCTTAGGTATATGTGGCTGGCACCTTAGCCACTTGGGCCATAGGTGCCGAGCCATGAATTTTTTTCTTACCCTATTATACTAGCTAGGACCTTCCATACAGTGTTGAATAGAAGTAGTGAGTGCAAACATTCTTAACAGTTCACTAAATCTAGAAGGAACATATTTAACATTTTATTCTTATGCCTAATACTGACTGTAGGTTTCTCATCTGGATGTTCTCTCGTCTTTATGTTTTCTGACTAAATTGTGACTAGGTATTGATTTTAACAAACACTTTCTCTGTATCTGCTGAGTTGAACATATTGTTTTTCTTCTTTAATATGTTACTGTGCTGTATTACATTGATTTATTTGAATTTTACCTATTTATTTTTTATTTTTTGTTTTTTTGAGTCAGTCTCACTTTGTCACCCTTGGCAGAGTGCTGTGGCATCATAGCTCACAGCAACCTCAAACTCTTGAGCT